AGGGGCACTTAACCACTGAGCCACATCCCCAGCCCTTTTTATTTTTTATTTTGAGACAGGCTCTCACTAAGTTGCTTAGGGTCTTGCTAAATTGCTGAGGCTGGCTTGTGATCCTCCTCCTCAGCCTACTGATTTGGTGGGATTATAGGTGTGTGCCACCATGCTGGGCTTATTTTCTACATTCTAATGGTATCCATTCTAATGGGTTTGAGATGGTGTCCACTATACGTTTTGTTTTACATTTCCATAAATATTAGTGTCTGTTTTTTGTTTTTGTTTTTTGCTTCAAATTCTAGTGTGTATTTTATACTTAAAGCCCTTCTCTATTTGCACTGGCCACATCAAGTGCTTCATTGCTGGCTACTAGATAGTGAGCTCTCCATATATGCAGGTTCTGAATCGTCAGATTCAATGGGCTGGGGTTGTAACTCAGTGGTAGAGCTCCTGCCTAGCATGTATAAGGCCTTAGGTTCAATTCCCAGCACTGAAAAAAAATTGCAGCTGGACTTGGTGGTAAACCTCTATAATCCCAGCCACTTCGGAGGTCAAGGCAGGAGGATTACAAGTTTGAGGCCAGTCTGGACAACTCAGCAACACTCTGTCTCTAAATAAATAAATAAATAAATAAATAAATAAATAGGCAGGCCTAGAAATAGAGCTCTGTGATAGTACTTGTCTGCCATGTGCAAGGCTCTGGATTCAAGCCTTAGCATTGCAAAAAAAAAAAAAAAAGCGTCTGTACTGAACATGTATGGACTTTTTTCCTTGGCATTATTCCCTAAACAATATAGTATTACAACTATTTTCATAGCATTTATATTGTATTAGTAACTACAGGTAATCTAGAGATGGTTTAAAGTATGGTTTAAAGGGTACTATAGGATGCATGTAGGTTATATGCAAATACTACACCATTTTATATAAGGGGCTTGGGCATCCACAGATTTTGCTTTGTGCAGAGGGCCCTGGAACCAATCCTTCATGAATCCTGAAGAATAACTTATTGGAAAATGTGGTTCTAGAGGGAACAGTTGGGGGCCATGGGTAGAGGTGTATGGGATCCAGGCACGTGTCTGGAGCTGCCTGAGCAGGAAGTGGGTTTTCAGAAGGCTGCATGTCTTGGTGGTAGGGTGGGTACTAGGAGGAGACTGCCCTCAGGGACCTTCAGAGGACTCTGGTACACAGTCAGCCCTCTGGAATGGCTGTATGAGAAGAAGGCAGTCAGTGCCACTTTGCCAGTGCTGCTAGTTTTGGCAAAGGCTGTTGGAATGCTCCATGCAAACATGCCTGCAGCTCTTTCTAGCCTCACACACTGGACAGGAGTCGACTGTAACCAAGGGGTGGAGGGCCTACGTTTCCTTCCCAGCACTCTGCCTCGACCCTGCACTGCCCCCTGCCTCCCCCTGGAGCCTGTCTAATCAGATCCAGGCCTGGCCTTGCCAGAGGTCCTGGACCAGGAGGAAAGTGCCCCCTCCCCTCCCTGAGTGGCCCTGGATCAGGCTCTCAAGAGACCTCTCCCCTCGGGGTGATTTATAGGGGTGTCCGGGAACCGTTTCCTGCCGGTTTCTGCTCCCTCTCAACCCAAGGATTACTGTTCTCACTCTCTGCCCTCTGTCTCTCTCACAGCCTGGCTGTACCCATGGCAGGGGCTGGGAGAGTCCTCCCCAGATTGCCTGGGGACAAAGGTGCTTTCTTCTTTCTTTTCCCTATGGTATCTCAGGCCCTCCACTCTGGTAGGACTCCCAGCCACTGTCCATTACTACCTTCATCCAGTTTGAAGAGAGGGACCCAGCACTGTCCCCACCAGGCCAGCAAGTGCCAGCAGAAAAAGCATAAAATGTCCACAGTCAAAGTCACAGCACCACCACATGTCCACACCACTGATGTCACTGACAGTCATTCGTCCACACTGGGTGCGCAGAGATCCAACCCTCAGTCTGTCCAGCCTCCCATGTCTGTCCAGGGTCTCCCTGAGAGAGACCATGAGGACCCTAATGCTGCTGGAGCAAGAACAGATTTGTGAACAGAACGTGCTCCACCCTGAGACTGCAGCAGGCCTGAGCAGCTGTGGATCCTTTCTCCCCTCACTTTGCAAAGAAAAAATACTATTGCTTATGACCCAGGAAAATTCCAAGCCTCCAGTTAAGATGAGTAGTAGTGCCCAGAACATGTGGCCGTGGACACGGCCCACTCGTGAAGAAGGGTGGAAGCAGAGCTGGAAGGTCCCAGAAAGGCTCTGTGTCTATCCGTTTGTTCATGCTGCATGCCCTGGCCTCCCAGAAAGCCCAGGGGCACCTAAGGGATATGCAGGGCTGACCAGAGGAAGGGTAAGGATTTAAAGAGGGGAAAGAAAAGGGAGGTTGGGTGACCAGGACACCTGTGAAGCCAGGTGGACTCCCAGAGGTGGGGCTGAGGACCATCCCTAGGCCTCAGTACCTTCTCTCCAACCAGCCAGAAGAGGCCAGTTCAGTTTGTAGTCTGCCCTGCTGTTACCTGCTCTGGAGAGAGAAAAACCTGCTGGGAAGTGATAACTAAGGGACACCCCAGCAGAGGGCCCAGGACTCAGTTTCCCTTTGTAGAATGAAGGGATTTGCTTCTGAGTGGTTTTCGAGGGCTTTTAAAGGCAAAACTTCCCTTCAAATTAAGTGTTAGGCAGAAGTGCCACTCAGTAAAGCTGATGGAGGGACAGCAAGGAGCTGCTCTGATGGAAGGGGAGTGTGGGCAGGGAGAGGCTCAGCTGCATCCCAGGGATTCCGGGGGACCCCGTGTGAGGGATATCAGACTGGCTCCCACCTAGACCTCCCCAGCATCACATCCAGCCCCTGCCATTGTCTGCTATAGCTGTAGTTTAGTCCCCGGGAGTGGGGGGAGGGGGGTGGCGGGCAGGGAAGGGACTAAGACTGTGGGCTGGTCAGTAGAGGCCAGACTTCTCCACCCCAGCACCCTGAAGAACAGCAGTACTTTCCATGTGTCTTTCCTCAGGCCAGCTCCTAGCTGTGGGTGCCTCCAGGGAGCCCAGAGTGGAGGCCAGAGGCACAAAAGGATTCTGGTTCCTTAATGAGGAGGCATCTGTAGTCAGCACAGAGCCATTAGCTCCCGCCCCAGGTGTATGTGGGGGGGGGTGCTGTGAGCTCCTCTCCAGCTGCAGTGAGGAGGGGGCAGGCCACTCCCTGGCTCCCTAATGGGCAGGGCCCAGAGGGCACAGACTGCAGACCCAGGAACCTGGGTGTTGGTTCTGCCTACCCCCCAGGCCTGCGTCCATCCCTGCACTTGGGGTGGGGGGAGGCCTCTACAGCACCTCAGCTCCTCCCTCAAGCCCCTGGACTGACCTGCAGGCTTCTGGCCTGAGAGAAGACTGGCTGACTTCCGTGCTCCTGGGGATCCTCTCACCAAGCCTGACGGGGTATCTGCTGGACTGCTTGTCCAGCAACCCGAAACCCCCGTGGTCTCAGGGTCCTGTCTGTAAGAGCTACACCACATGGAAACACACGCTAAATTACGTATACAGTGTCAGAATCACAGCAGCTGCAGGAGCTGACAGATTCAAGCCCCCATCCCCATCCAGATGGGGACACTCAAACCACACCCATGAAGACACAGCCACTCTTCTGCACAGCCCCACACGCGTACAAAGGGGCGCCCACACCCATCAGCCGTACTCCCAGGAGGCCCTCAAAGAGGAGGAGGCAGGGCGGGGGATTTTTATGCATGTTTATATTTAATGAATCACATGCAAATGAGATGGAGAATGCGCCACAAAGGAGCCAGCCCCCAGAGACTCTGGATGGAAGGGCACAAAGGCTTGGCCTTTCAGGCTGCCCTGGAGTCTAGACCAGGCCCGTGGACTGAGGGGACCTGAGACAGGAGGGCATGGGGGCCATGGGGAGGGCTGCCACACCAGAGAGCCAAGGGCCAGCAAGGGAACAGGCTCCAGTGTCCCTGCTGCTGTGGGGGAGGGCTCCTCCTGAGAGGGGAGCGACTGTCCCAGTTGATGGAGTGCTGAGGGGCGGGGCTGCTGCCTGGACAGATGGTGCACCGCCTTCCGCACTTGAGGCAAAGTGGATTTTAATGAAACCACAGCCCTGGCTCTGAAGCTGGGAACCCGTGTGGGAGGCACCCTTCCCCAGGCTCTACTGGGAGGGGCTTGGGCATGGGTGGGGTTGGGGGGCAGCAGGGACACTTACCCAGCCTGAAACTGGGGAGCCCGGTGGTTGCACTTCAGCTCCTCTGCCCTAAAGCTCCTCTGCCCTGGCCTCTGCAGACCCCGGTTTAAGCAGTGAGTTCAGATTCCCCCAAAGGTGTGGGGGGCTCTGAATATTTATGACACATTGTAATGTAGATTGGTCGGTTTGACAGTCTTCTGAGAGATTTGTCACCTTGGATGGATACACCACCCCCTTGGGGCATGTGGAGAAACTGCAGAAGAACTGGAGGTGAAGGAGGATGAGGAAGGACAAAATACCCTTCTGGTCCCCATAACTGGGATCTGACGACTTTGCTGCGTCTCTGCTGGGCAACATTGGACTAATCGGTCTCCTCTCTGGGCCTCGGTTTCCAATTCTGAAAAATGATATTCAGGGCTTGCACCGCACAGGGGGAGTTTATGAAAATAAGTCCAAAAGCAGCTGAAGAGGTGGGGAGCAGGCTTGGGGTCAGTGCTCTCTCTGGCTGGTCTTCGTGTGTAGTTCTGGGGTATCAGTGCCTCCAGGAAGCCCCTGACAGACCAGCATCTCCTTGTTGGAGCTGTTATCTGTGTGTTTGTCCCACCTTTTCAAAGCATCCCAGCCCAGCCTGTGCCACCTCTTAGGGGTCTCAACCATGAAAAGTGCTGGCACATCACCCACACTGCTGCCCTGTCTCACCAGCCCCAGAAACCTCCATGCCCCCATAGGAGTAAGCACCACCTGTATGGGTGGTCACCTACCCCGACCCATCCATGTCCACCCTTCCTCCCTCTGCGCCTTGGCAGTGTGCCTTACCATGGTCTTCTCTTCCCCCAGCCATGTCTGACTTCCACGTGCACCCCCAAGCCACCGTGGGCGAGGAGGGCGGCGTGGCACGCTTCCAGTGCCAAATCCATGGGTTGCCCAAGCCTCTGATCACATGGGAGAAGAACAGAGTCCCCATTGACACGGACAATGAGAGGTGAGCCTCGTGTGGCAAGGACAGAGGCCAGCCAGTGACGCCAGACTGCCCATGGCTCTGGGAGCTGCTGCCAGCCCCCCAGGGTGATTCTGCCACTGCATTTGGGGTTGGTGTCCATGTGGCTTGCACAGCCCCAATTCTAGGCTCATGGACATGCTCATGAGGACTATGTGTGATGACTGTCATACTGGGAATGAGGGTGCCCGCCTGTGAGAGTCCCAGCATGTCTGTGATGACAACTGTGTTGTTGGCACAGTACCTGGTCCCGGGCTGTGTCTCTGATGCTCAATGTCCCTGTGGCCCACAGTGCCAGTAGCTGTGCTGGTGGTCAACTGTGTCTCTCCAACAGGTACACATTGCTGCCCAAGGGAGTACTGCAGATCACAGGACTTCGGGCCGAGGACAGTGGCGTTTTCCACTGTGTGGCTTCGAACATTGCCAGTGTTCGGATCAGCCATGGGGCCAGGCTCACTGTGTCAGGTGAGGGCCCTTGGCCTGCCAGTTCTTCCCCTTGCCAGCTTCCTAACTCAGTCCCACGACTGGCCTCCGGAGCCAGGGCCACCCAGTGCCAGCTGAGCAACTCCCAAGCTCAAAGCCAAGTGCTGGTGGCTAGAGGAGGACCAGAGGGTGGCGGAGGAGGTGGGTGGGAGGTCCACCTGGACTCCATTCTCCCAGGGAGGGCCATCCTCTCATCCCCAGGCTTGCCCATTGCTGAAGGTCCTGTGGGGCTGGCCTGGGGGAATGATGTGCGAGACGCCCTGGTTCCCTGGCATCTCTCTGCCCACAGGACCTGGTTTCTGGGTGGGGTTTGTCCTAGGTTGTGGGTAGGTGAGAAAGTGCGGCCTTTCCCTCCCAGGCTCAGGCTCCGGGGCCTACAAGGAGCCGACCATCCTGGTGGGGCCTGAGAACCTCACCCTGACGGTGCACCAGACCGCAGTGCTGGAGTGTGTCGCCACTGGCAACCCGCGCCCCATTGTGTCCTGGAGCCGCCTGGGTGAGCCTCGTCCCACAGCCTCCACCCTGCCCCCACCCGCCCCCTGGGAGGCGGTTTCATGGTCTCATCGCCCAGCACTGGGGGGGACTTTGATTCCTGTTTGTTCTCGTGGGGGTCAGTCCTCTCCCTGCGACCTGAGGAGGGGCTGAGTTCCCCCTCCTGGCAGGACCAGGGACGCAGACCTGCCCACTACATTCTCCCTCCCCGTGCAGAGCTGGCTTAGCTCCCTGGGTTACCCCGTCCAGTCCAGCGCTGTCCCCTCTTTGCCCTGGCCTCAGCCCTCCAGAACCCTCAGCGCAGAGTCTCCTTTCTCTTGCACTCACCCATGCCCTCTGTACCCTGTTGCACCCTGAGCTGTGCAGTCCCAAGCCCCCCAAATCTCAGCCAGTCATCCAGCCCTGGCTCTGGGCTCTCCCAGTCTCTAGCCTGGTCCCCTAGCCCCCCAGCCTAAATCCTGAGGCAGCTGAGGGAAGAAATGAAAGGGTGCAGATGGGCCCACATTGTCTGAGCAGAGAGGTCACTGGGGGAAGGAAACTCTGGAGGGGTGGGGTGGGGTCGCATTCACAAGGAGACTGTGCCACATTGTAGCAGCTGAGTGATCAGGGAAGGAGGGGGCAGCAGGCGGGATAATGGAGTAGATTTCACCACTTCAGGGACTGAATGGGGAGCTGTCTCCTTGTGTTCTGACTGTGCTAATCTGATCCTGGGGTGGGGGGAGGGTCTGGGTCCCTGGGAGAGGCTGAGAAGAGTGGCCTCACCATCAGGAGCCAGTAGGCATTGCCGGAACCATCTGGTCCAGCATTTCCCAAAACACGATTAGAAGGGACAGAATGCTCAGTGGCCTAACAAATTCGGGAAACAAAGTTAACCAGGTTCCTTAACTGCAGGACTTCTCAGAGCCTTTATATTAATGATCATTTTAACTGACCATCCAGAAGTGGAATGGATATTTGACCGTGGAATTTTTTTTAAGAGAGACAAATGAGGTTGGGAAAAGTTGATGGAATCCAAAGCCCTTCCTTTATGGACTGAGAAATGGGAAAGGGACTTGAAAGTTAGCAGCGAATCAGCAGTTACTGTGGAATCAGGATGCTGGACCCTGCTGTGGGCGAGAGCACTGGCCTGCTCTCTGCCACCTCTGGGGGCAGAAGACGGGGGTGTCAAGCCAAGATGAGGGCTCTGGAGAAGACTGATGGAAGGGTGGACCCTCTGGAATGTTCCTGTGCCTCCCCTCCCCCACTTCCTTCTCAGATGGCCGCCCCATTGGGGTAGAGGGCATCCAGGTGCTGGGCACGGGAAACCTCATCATCTCAGATGTGACAGTCCAGCACTCGGGGGTCTACGTCTGTGCGGCCAATAGGCCGGGCACCCGGGTGAGGAGAACCGCCCAGGGCCGGCTGGTGGTACAAGGTAGGGACCAGCCATGCCGGAAGGGGGGGCCCTCCGCACTGCCCCTCCTCCTGTCCCTCCCCTGCCCAGTCCTGCCGCTTCAGCATCCCATGTCACCCTGTACCCACTTATGCCCTGTCCCTTGCCACTCACCAGGTCCCGGCAGCAGCTCTTGGGAGTCTGGGGGACTCCCTCGGTTGCGCAGCCCACGTGCCCCCCTCCTCCCTGAAGTCCCGCTGGCCACCCCCCGCCTCGCTCACGCGCCCCCCACGTGCCGTTCTTATTCACACGTGTGGCACTAACACGCTCACACCTGCCTGCCTGAGGCTCCCTGAGCGACTGTCATTTTCACACGTGCTCGTCAGCGCCCGCTGCATGTGCAGAACGGCCTGGGCGCCCAGGGCACGGGGCCCCTGCCGCTGACCAGGTCAGCCCTCCGTCCCAGCCCTGGGGCTCCACTGTCCCCAGGCTTGGATCTCCATTCAGGAGTGGTTGTTCCCTCCTTGAGAGCAGAAGGGATGGGAAATGGGGGAATTAGGAACTTAAATGCCGCTTGTTTAGCATTCCATGTGCCGTTAATCTGTCCAGATGAAAGTGATGGAGCATTTCATTTCCCGGGTGTTAATAGAGGCCTGAGGCTTGGGATTGGAGGAGAGCGGAATGGAGTGTGGGGCTGGGGGGCCGCTCTGAGGGCTCATCCATCTCCCCGTCATTACCGCCTCCGAGGTGCAGCCAAACCTATTAGCACATTTATTTATTTAACAATTTCCTGAACTGGGAGCTCAGCTTGATTGCTTTCGGATACAAATGTCAGTCTTTTGAGTAGTGGTTACAATGGAGTCCTCTCTTGGGTCTGCCAGGGTAGAGGAAGGAGGGAGGGAGGCTGGGGTCCTGCTAGCCACATGGGGAGTCTCCAGGGGGCCATGAATGTCCCAGCCCACCTCAGCCCCACGGCTGCCTCCCCAGCCCTTCACGGGCAGCTGTCTCTCCCCTCTCTACCTGGCTCTCACCACTCAATGCTCCTCTGTGCCCAGCCCCGGCGGAGTTTGTCCAGCATCCCCAGTCCATCTCCAGGCCAGCTGGAACCACAGCCATGTTCACCTGCCAAGCCCAGGGTGAGCCGCCCCCTCATGTCACGTGGTTGAAGAATGGCCAAGTGCTGGGGCCAGGAGGCCATGTCAGGCTCAAGAACAATAACAGGTGTGTGTGTGTGTGTTCGCATGTGCACACTGTTGGGGAGAGGACTGGGGAAGAGAGGGAAGGGGCCTGGGTAGTGGCCTAGTAGGCTGTGCAGTCCCGCTGGGGAAGAGCACAACACTGGGACCGGAGACTCAGGTTCGCGTCCCTGGGAAACCTCAGTCAGACAAGTTGCTTGTCTAGAGGGGACCTGAGGCTCTCCTCTCCTTGCAGCACACTGACCATTTCTGGAATCGGTCCTGAAGATGAGGCCATCTACCAGTGTGTGGCCGAGAACAGTGCTGGCTCGTCACAGGCCAGTGCCAGGCTGACCGTGCTGTGGGCCGAGGGCCTGCCTGGGCCCCCTCGCAATGTCCAGGCTGTCTCTGTGTCGTCCACTGAGGTCCGTGTGTCCTGGAGCGAGCCCATGATCAACACCAAGGAGATCATCGGCTACGTCCTGCACATCAGGAGGGCGGCTGGTGGGTGGGCCTGGGGGGCACAACCAGCTTTGCACCCCCACACCGTTGTTTCCCATCCCTTTCTACCCTGAGTGTCCCAGAGAGCACCCTCCTCTCCTTCCCCCACTGCGGCCCCACTGCCCTCACTTCACAGGTGTTGGCAAGGTTGCCTCTTGTTCCTCACCCCCCCCCGCCCTGCGCTTTGCCTCCCCAGACCCTCCAGAACTGGAGTATCAGGAAGCAGTCAGTAAGAGTACCTTTCAGCACCTGGTGGGCGACCTTGAGCCCTCTACAGCCTACAGCTTCTACATCAAGGCCTACACACCAAGGGGGGCCAGCTCAGCCTCCATGCCCACCCTGGCCAGCACCCTGGGTGAAGGTGAGACTGGGTGTAGAGTACAAAACCACAGACAGAAAGTTTTGATGAAGCCCTCACATCTTGGCCTCCTCTGCCTTTAGCTCCTGCCCCCCCGCCACTGTCCGTGCGGGTCCTGGGCAGCTCCTCCCTGCAGCTGTTGTGGGAGCCCTGGCCCCGGCTGGCCCAGCATGAGGGTGGCTTCAAGCTCTTCTACCGCCCTGCCAGCAAGGCCTCCTTTACGGGTCCCATCCTGCTGCCTGGAACTGTGTCCTCCTACAACCTCAGCCGGCTGGGTGAGGCTTGGGGCTGGGCAGGGAGGAGGCGGTGTGGTAGGGTCACCTCCCCGCACCCTGCCAGGATGGAGCTGGCTGGGGGGCAGTTTCTCACAGCCTTCAACCCCCAGACCCCAGGGTGGTGTACGAGGTAAAGCTGCTCGCCTACAACCAGCACGGGGACAGCAACGCCACTGTCCGCTTTGTGTCTTTGAGGGGAGCGTCTGAGAGGACAGGTGAGGGCTGGGATGGGCGGTGGAGCTACATTGGCCTGAAGGAAGGAGGACAGGGCCTGAGGGGCGGGGGGAGCAGGCCAGGTAGGAGGGTGTAAGCCTGTAAGCGCACAGGCTCAGACCTGTGGGAAGCTTGCTGTGTGGCATTCTGTGTGGTGTTGGTCAAACTACTTACCCTCTCTGAAACACAGTTTTCTCCTGTACAAACAGGCATAATAAAGCCTGTCTTAAAAGGCCATGGCAAAGTGCTATTCCCAATATCTGGCTCAGAGTTGGTGCTCAGTAGCTGGTAGAAAGAACTGGAAAGGTTGGGCTAGTGTCACATAAGTGAAGTGGAGGGCCTGACTGAGGGAGAAGGAGCCCCAGAGGCTGGGTGTATGGGGGTGCTCCAGGCCGGGAGAGCCGCAGCCCCAGCCTGCCCCTGCCCGTTAGCTCTGAGCCCACCGTGCGACTGTCGGAAGGAGGATGCTGCCAACCAGACGTCCACCACAGGCATTGTCATTGGCATCCACATCGGGGTCACCTGCATCATCTTCTGTGTCCTCTTCCTGCTGTTTGGTCAAAGGGGCAGGTGGGTACTGGGAAGGGCAAGAGGCTGGCTGGGGCGGAGGCTCAGCCCTTGGGACTCCTGCCCCGGAGTCCCCTAATTCTGCTTACCCTTTAGGGTCCTCCTGTGTAAGGATGTGGAAAACCAGCTCTCCCCTCCCCAGGGTCCCCGGAGCCAGAGGGACCCTGGCATCCTGGCCCTGAATGGGGTGGGCCGCGGAGAGCGAGGCCAGCTGGGCCGAGGTGAGAAGTGCGTGGACGCCAAGGAGCTGGAGCAGCTGTTCCCCCCAGCCGGGGTGGTGGGGCCGCCTGGCTCCAGGCCCACTGTGAGTGCCAGAGAAGCTCCTTTGACCCTGACCACTCTCCCACCCTTCCCCCCCTCACCTTGGCCTTGGTCATTGGCGTTAGCCAAACTCTGGGTCTTCTCTGGGCACAGAAGTCCTGGCCATGCTCCTCTGCACCCCTGTCGGGCAGAGGCCTGAGGTCTCAGCCCAGGGGTGGGATGGAGCCTGAGCCCGGCCCTGGGGGGGGTCTCTGGGCCCTGCCTGGGTCCTCCTGCTGACCCTGTATGCTTCCTTTCCCCAGCAGGATCCCACAGCCCCTGTCCCGTGTGAGGAGACCCAGCTCTCCACGCTGCCACTGCAGGGGTTTGGCTCTCTGGACAGGAGGGCGACAGAGGCCAAGACCCCCTGCACAGGCCCTGTGGCTGCCCCGTTGCCTCTGGACAGTGGCCCCGACCTCCTTGGAGAGGGACAGGTGACCCAGCTTTCTGAGGCACCCGCTGCCCAGCCAGCTCACTCCGGACAGTAGCCAGGGCCTGGCAGGCTCTGCAGGGGGTAGCCCCCCGTTCTCAGGTCGAAGGCAAGAGTTCTCCTGCTATGTGGGCTTCAGGTGGCCCTGGGCTCCCCAGCACTTCTGTCCTGACTGGAGGCCGGGGTGGGCCAGGCCTAAGGGGCCTCGGCAGGGACCCCGGAGCTGGAGGGGCCCTAGGGAGCCTTCCCTCCTCAGACTGACGCCCTGGCTGCTGCCTGGTCCCCACCTGCCTGGGCACTGGGTGGCTGGCGTCCCTTAAACGGAAGCGAGAGGAAGGTGAACTAGACTCAGAGCCCCCCCCCCCCCCCGGCCGGCCACGAGCCCTGCTCCCTTGTCTTCTCAGGACCCAGTTCTGCCCTTTGGCTCAGCACCTACCTCAGCCGGAATGAATGTCCTCGGGGGAGTGGGGTGGTGGCCTAGTTCCTGCCCCACAGAACCCGGATGCACCTACCTCAAGCCCCTCCCGGGCGCCCCTCCCTCCCCACGTGTTGTCTAGAGTTAAGAAAGGAAAAGAAAAAAGAAAAAAAAAAAATGGACGTCCCCATTTCCAGGTGTGAAAGAAAACGTCTACCTCAAGGCTCTGGCTCCGGGGCCTGTGCCCTGGACCCTCTGCCCAGCCTCTGCTTTGCCCGGCCTCTGCTCTGCCCACTGCCCTGCTGCCTCCCCCAGAGGAGGCCCGGGCCCAGTGACCCATGGGGCCTACAGAAACGAAGAGGGAACTGGTCAGAGGGAAAAATGTGAAAAAAGCCAAAAATGAGAGGAAATGGATTCCTCGAAATGTAAATCCTTGTCCCAAACTAGCCACCTCCCAGCAGCTGCCATCGCCTGCCTCCTGCCCACGCACTGTTACCCTCTTGGCACACCTGTCCCCCCATCGGGATCCCCATGACCCTCTCCACCTGGGCCTGGGGAGGTGGAACGTCACCCATAGCCACAGCCTGTGTCCTGTCCTTCCTCCTGGGGCAGCCTGGCCCCCGAAGGTGCAGTGCGTGTGGTGGGGGGGGGGGGGCGTCCCTGGCCAGGTCCCCAGCCCTCGGTGTGGCAGGCCAGCGGCTGACCCTCTGGGGCCCTGGACACCCTCTGTCAGCAGATGTGGCTGGGAGGTGTTTTGATGGAGATGTGTTAAGGGCCCTTGTGACTTTTCCTTTCTGTTGTGAACTACTTAGGTGAAGAAGAAGAAAAACCAAGGAAACAAATACCTATTTTTGGTTACACTCAGAAACATTTTTTTAAATAGAAGAACTTTTTTTAAAAATAAATAAAAGATACGTGTATTCCTGAAGAATGAGACTAGAACCTAAAGTCCTTTGACCCCCACCCTCTAGGGACACCCCACCCTGAAATTTAGTTCATTAGCCGAAGAAGGTAGAATTTGTGGTGTTTTCCTAGGAAACTAGAGTAGTGTCCTGTGGACTGGGGAAGGGTGGTCCTCCCTCCCCAGGGAGGGAGAGGGCAGTGCCAGACCCCGGGGCCCTGAGGCAGTCCCCTGTCTGCGCAGAGACTTCCTTCTGGAGCCCACTCTCCCTTGGGGAGGGTGGAGCTGGGCCACCTGGCCTGACTTGGGTTTTGTCACACACTACTCATTTTGACTGAATAAAAGTCCTGTTGCCAAAGTGAACTTGAGCGTGTTGGTGGCTGTCAGCTCCCTGGGGAGGGGTGGGCATGCTGGGTAGGCCAGACACCCACCCACTCCCCCCCAACCCATGGTGTCAGAGCTTGAGAGGATGATGGCAGAGCCCGGTGCATCATGACAGGCACTCACCAGGCTATCTCCACGTGCCAGGCAGGCTGTGGGACCTTGCGCTGCCTTTCAGGGTAGACACCCTAGTGACTGTCCGGCTTCAAATTCCAGACCTGAAATCAAGAAAGGGAAGAGAGGAGCCAGGTGTGGTGGTGCACACCTGGAATCCCAGCAACTCTGGAGGCTGAGACAGGCAGATCGCGAGTTCAAAGCTGGCCTCAGCAACCCTGTCTCTAATAAAATACAGAAGAGGGCTGGGGATACAGCTCAGTTGGTAGAGTGCTTGTCTTGTATGCACAAGGCCCTGGGTTCAATCCCCAGCACCACAAACAAAAGGGGCCACTGGGGATGTGGCTCAGTGGTTAAACACTCCTGGGTTTAATCCCTGGTATCAAAAAAAAAGGGAAGAGAGGGACAGAAAGAGCCAAATCTCCTCCACCCAGATGGGGCACGCCCCAAGCCCTTGTCCAGGCCAGGCTGCCTGGTTCCAGGGTCTGCCTGCTGACGGTCTCCTTAGCCCCCAGTGAGGACACTGAGACTCCAAGGTAAAAGCCGCCCAGGACTGAGCCTCCTGGACAGGAGCTGGGGGCGCTGTGTGCTTTTCAGGTGTTGTCTATGAGAGGCTTTCCTTCCCATCCTAAACAGGAGGAAAATGAGGCTGACCCAGTGACTTTTTCCAGGGCACCCAGCCGGGACCGCTGGGGAGGCCTCACCATTCCTCTACTGTCCTCTTGGTCCAGGTTCCTGAAGTCAGGTGTCCAGGATTGCTGAGATTGGCCAGAGGCCAGGGGAGGCCTGGCTTGATGGTAGTCATGCTGACCAAGATCTGAAGGTCTGAGCTGACCCCAAGCCTAGTAGGAGGCAAGGATGTAAAGCAGCTGCTACTGAAGTGGAAAGCCAGGCCTCACTCCTGAGGACTCTGCAACTGTGGGAGTCAAGTTCTCCCCCAAAAACTCCTTTGCAGAGGAACATACCAGGATGGTGGTTTATAAAGTGACATCCCCACTGTGGCTGGGGTGTGGGGAGCTTCATGGGGTGGGGGGCGGTTGTCACTCTCCCCTCCCACCTTCCTCCAGAGCATCTCCACGTTTCTCTGTCCTGTTTTGAACTCTGTGGAATTTCAATCAAAATCAAGAGTCTGCTCCTGAAGGGATGCTTTTGGTGGTGGTGGTGTAGGAATGGAGCAGGGAAAGCCTCTGGCCCAGCGCTTCTGGAAGAGACCTGCAGGACAGGGGGCCACAGTGATAGTGTTGGGGATGGACGCTGGTCCAAGCAAGAGAAGCCCAGGCCCGTGTGCTGTCTGTGCTGAGTCTCCAAGGAGTGTCCCCACTTCCCCTTATTATCCTGGGGAAGGTCTTGCCCCGGCAGAGGGGAGATGGCACCTTTCTTACACAGCCCTTTACACAACTCCAGCAGCCCAAGGGCTACGGGGGAGGGGTGTGTGTGTGAAGCAGTCACTGTGCGGGTGGGAGTCCCCCCCAGAGCCACCTCCTCAGAAAGTCCAAGACGCTAGCACTGCCACCAGAAAGGTGCCCAGAGACGTTTAGAAACCACCCCAACATGGTCCCCTGAGATGTGCACACAAGTCACATGCAACTGTGGCCGGGCCTGTTCCTGCCCCCACTGGGCTCCCTGGCTAAGGCAGGAAAGCTGGGAGGAGGAGGGGAGTGGCCCTGAGGTGGCAAAGAGCCCAGAGGCCGAGGTTGGCGAGCCCCGGTGCCCCAGCCCCCCACACCCTCTTTGGGCATCTAGGTCTGGCAACGTGCCCTGCTCCTCCGAGGCCCCCAAACAACTGCCCCAAACCCCGGTGACTTAATGCACTTCCTTTGCCTTCTAGCCGTGGGCAGGGCTCTGGGGACAGCGGTCTCTGCTCCACTCAGCACCAGTCAGGGAGGCATGAGGCCGAGGCAGGAGCCATCTGAAGTCTCCACAGGCCCAGGTCCAGTGGGCGGCTGGAATGGCTGTCACAGGGGCCTACTCGGACACACCCTCCCAAGGATGGTGTCCTGGGGGCGAGAGCCAGGAGGAAAGTGCACCATCATGTCTAACCTTAATCACCAAGGCTGGCCGTATTCAAGGAATTTGAGGGGAATTAGATCCCACCATTTGAGGGGATGCCAAAGAATGCGGACACATGTGTTTTGTTTGTTTCTCTCTTTTTTGGTGTTTTAAAATGACCACAGGAGCACGCAGGAGGACAAATGGGAGCTGAGAGCTGGGGAGCCAGGAGGCAGGAAAACGCCACCTGGTGGCCCTCATGGTGAAGGTTGGGGACATAGCAGCAAGGGGGTGGCTGGTGGGCTGCAGGAGGCAGAGAGTGTCCCCAGTTCCTGAGCTGGGACCTTCTTTAGGGGCCTCACCCCTATTATTGGTCAAGATTGGTCTGAGCGTTCAGTTAGAGGCACAGGGTGGGGGATCAGGCCTCTGCCAACTCCCTGAAAGTGGCTTCTCCAACTGCTTGCTCTGTCTCCTCATGTGAGGGGCCAGCAGTCAAGGGCAGCTGATGCTGGTTTGAGACCCCCACCCACCTGGAATGGCAGGTGTCAGAGTGGCAGAGCCAGCGGGAGGGGTCTGTGGACCCCCATGAGACTGGCGCAGCAACTGAGGACCCAGGAGGGGTGTGAGCGGCTGCAGGCGACAGGGCAGTGGGCAGCAGTCCAGCCACACCCCACCTGGAACCCTCCCCCTCAACCAGCTGGACCAGTGGCAGACCCTCAGTACTGGACAGAGTGGACAGAGGGAAGGCAGAGGGGAGAGACTGGAGACCCCAGGGTGGGAGGTGGTGAATGGGGGGGGGTCTTCCTGGAGAGGAGCTGGGACAGGTGGCAATTGACTGGAAACAGGTGAAGCCGGAAGCCACCAAGGGTGGGCACCTGTCCTCAATTCTGGGATCAGGTTACAGTCAGGGAGGGGACAGGTAAACCCATGGCCCTCCCTCAAAGAGGCCTCATAAGTACTGCCCTGGGCTGGTCCCTCTGGACCACCTTGGAGCAGGGAGGGCTGGGGAGGGGACTGGGGCTGAGACAAGGGCTGGGGAGGAGCAGGGGGGGAAGGCCCTTCATGGGCTGAGCGGACGCAAGCTGGACTCTGAGCTCCCTGTGCCACAAGCCACTGCCTCGATGCAGCTGTCTCCAAGTGACAAGCATAGATAGCATCCCCTGGAGCTGAGAAGGGTGGCCCTGAAGTCCAATGGCTCTGCCACTCCCCAGTCATGTCACCGTGAGCAGATTATCAAACTTCTTTAGGCCTCAACCCCCCCCCCCCACCTAAAGCAGAAATAATAGGCCCTCCCTAGAAGGGCTGTTGGCTCTGCTGGCCTCTGTGCAGAAATCGAGAAGCTGATGCTAAAACTTATATGAAGTTTTACCCCAAGTAGCCTAAACAATCTTTTTTTTTTAATATTTTATTTTATTTTTTTAGTTTTCGATGGACACAACATCTTTGTATGTGGTGCTGAGGATCGAACTCGGGCCGCACGCATGCCAGGCGAGCGCGCTACCGCTTGAGCCCACATCCCCAGCTCCCCAAATAATCTTGATGACAAAGAAGAACAAATTTGGAGGACTCTAGACTCTCTGCTTTCCACACATACTACAAAGCTACAAAGTGACACTGTCAGGTGTGGTGGTGGCACACACCTATAATCCCAGCAGCTCGAAGGCTGAAGCAGGTCGACTGTGAGTTCAAAGCCAGCCTCAGCAACTTAGTGGGGTCCTAAACAACTTAGTGAGACCCTGCCTCTAAATGAAAAATAAAAAGAGCTGGGCTATGACTCAGGGGGAAAGAACCCCTGGGTTCAATTCCGAGTTATAAAAAAAAAAAAGATGTGGTACTAGCATAATAGAGACCTATGTAACAACAGAATACAATTAAGACTCCAGAAATATTCTCACAATTATGGTCAATTGAATTTGGACAAGGGTGGCAATGCTTTTTCATAGAGAATTGTCTTTTTAACAAATGATGCTTGATGGGCTGGGTATGGGCCCATACTCAGGAGGCTGAGGCAGGAGGATCACAAATTGGAGGCCAGCCTCAGCAACTTAGCAAGACATTATCTAAAAAAAAAAATTTTTTTTAAAGGGCTGGGTGCAGCTTGGTGGTAAAGCACCCCTGGGTTCAATCCCTAGTACCAAAAAAGGCGGGGGTGGGGTGTGGAGCAGGGAACTGGAACAAGGAGATATTCACATGCAAAGAATAAATTTGGATACCTTACTTACTCTCACCACATTAAAAAATCCACTCAAAATGGACCAAAACCCCTACATGTAAAAGCTAAGAAAGAAGAAAACATAAATGTACTATTTTGTGGCATTGGATGAAGCAAAGTTTCTTTGATAGAACACCAAACCCGCCCGGGTTCGATCCTCCTCACCATATACAAAACCAAGATGTTGTGTCCGCCAAAAACTAAAAAATAAATATTAAAAAAAAAAAAATGGGGCTGGGGATGTGGCTCAAGCAGTAGCGCGCTCGCCTGGCATGCGTGCGGCCCGGGTTCGATCCTCAGCACCACATACAAACAAAGATGTTGTGTCCGCCGAGAACTAAAATAAATAAATATTAAAAAAAAAAAAAAAAAAAAAGAACACCAAACCCACGAAAACGAAAAGAAAAAAATAGGACTAGGCTGTGGCTCAGTGGTGGAGTTCTCCATAGCATGCACAACCCCCTGGGTTCCATCCCCAGTAACAGGACAGAAGGAGGAGATAGAGAAGATAAATTGGATTGGATATCTTAAAATTTAAAAACAACTTTTGTGCTTCAAACGACACCATCAACAAAATATAGAGCTGGGTGGGTGGAGCCCTGGAAGAGGCTGAGAGGGTTCAATGAGTTTGCCGTTCAAAAGATCCACTGGAGCAGGCAGAGTGAGC